GATGAAGTCTAGTTCATCATTTTATTATTTTTATGGATTGTGCTTTTGGTGTTATAGCTATGAAGTCTTTGCTTAACTCAAGGTCACAAGGGTTCTCTTCTAGGTTTTCTTATAAAAATTTTATACTCTTGGGTTTTACATTTAGGTCCATGGTCCATTCTGAGTTAATGTGTGTGTGTGTGTGTGTGTGTCTATATATGTCTATATATGTATATGTATATGTGTACATACAATGAGTTAGAGTTTTAGTATCACTGTGTTGCTTCTAGTTCACTGAGTCCACATCCCAGAAATTCATGAAATTTTTAAAATGAATGCACACACTTATTGGGATTGTAAATGTGTATAGTTTATTTGAATCACCAGATTATTTTAAATTCTTGGCAAGAGATAATGTTAATAGTTTTCTGTAATTTACTTAGTGCTATAAAATTATTAATCTTATGTATAGTTTCATATATAATTGTTTAGAAGTTCTGCTGATTGTTAAAATGTTGTTCAACTATTATTCAGTTTAAATTATAATTTGAATGAAAAAGTAAACATTTTTATTGAGGAAAATAAAATATGAAGTCAGTTTATTCTGCAAACATTAGTGATTAGTAGCAGTGTTCTTTCCCTAAGGACCTTTACACTTGCTGTTCCCCTCTGCCTGGAGCACTCTTCCCCTAACTAATGTATAGTTAATTCCCTTACCCCTTCCAGTGTTTTGCCACTGCCAGTGACGCTGTCCTCAACCACGCTACTGAAAATTATAATCTCTCTCCCTTCAGTAGTCTTCATGGTTCTACTTCCTGTTTTATTTTTCTCATAGCATTTACTACCCTCTGACATAGATTTTTACTTGTTGATTTCTCTTTTCAGAATATAAGGTCTCTAATGGTGGAGATTTTTGTTTTGTTCACTAAATGTATGCCTAGCAGCTAAAATGTTGCCTGGCATGTAGTAGGCGCTCAATAAATGTTGAGTAAGTTGATAAATATATGAAGTCATACATATTTAAACAGGGTTAATTTTAAACAGTCATACATATTTAAACAGAGGTTCTAAGAGAAACATTTGCAGAAAATGGTTTATATAATTATTTTAGATGATTTAACAAACATTTGTTATAGAAACTTTTATTTTTATGATTATTCAGTTTTTGATTATCATTTTCAGGGTTCAGTTTGGCAAAGACTTGGTGCAGACGTGACAGCCGTTGAATTTTTGGGTCATGTAGGTGGAGTTGGAATTGACATGGAAATATCTAAAAACTTCCAACGCATCCTTCAAAAACAGGGGTTTAAATTTAAGTTGAATACAAAGGTTACTGGTGCTACCAAGAAGTCAGATGGAAAAATTGATGTTTCGTA